AGAGAGAGCTTGATTAATAACGGTCTTTGATATTGTCATTGGTCTACGTACTATTTTTTTCTTACCTAATCTTCATTAGAGCACGCAACGTGACAAAGAAACGACGGTCAACGGCGAAGTTCGTTCCCGTCAGAGAACGCGAGATAATGCTTGCCCTTAAGTTCTCGGGGACTGATTTCTATCGTCCGAGGGAAAGGGGATGATTACAGTGATTACGCGCGGGGGCATTACCGCGATCAGATAAAAGTGGACCAAAGCATAAAATTAATAATGCCTGTGCTGTGCGAAAGCCTAGTGTGTCGTGCAGAGAAAATTTATCACGTCGCAATATAAAAAGCACGAGGGTGAACGTTCTGCTACTCAATATGATTGAGGATACAACTTGGATAATTTTTTTCACCGAAAAAAGCTTTTATTTCACGCCTGACTGTTCTCGGAAATTATTTCTTTCGATCCTCTTTTTTTGAGAGAAATGATCGATATTATGTATTCAAGATTGAGTCAAAAAATGATATAATCGATAAAAATACATTATTGACGAATATAAAAAGAAATAGCAATTACGTTCTGATTCAATAAGTGCCAAGTTATCGATCCGACACAATAATACCTGAAATATATACAAAATATATACAAGGTAAATGTAAAGAAACATTTTTAAAGAACTTTAAATAAATGTACAAAATTTGGAAATGTTTGTAAAAAAAAACTGTACGCTAACAGTTTAGATAAATATATTAAACTGTTTTTATTTCTAAAGTATATTTTCATAAGCTTGTCAAGAAGCTCTTACGCAAAATCAACCAACACTTTAATTATTTTCGCACTGCGTACTGAATTTTTCCGCTCGCCCCAAATCCACTCTAACAAATTTAATGAGGTACGATGAGTAACATAGAGCTGAAAGCGTGCGACGTATTTCGTCGTTGACGAAACCGTCATCAACGACCATTAAACGTCACATATATACATATACATGTACACATACATATACATGAATATTTTTGTTCCGAGAAAAAAAAGAAGGAGGACGAATCTCGGAGTCGCGAAATCACGACACGAAAACCATGTATGACGACGACGACGACGTCGTCGTCGTCGTCGGGGTCGATATATATGTGGGGTTGGTAAGAGTTAGTAACAGTAACTAGCGCACCCGGTGGCACGCGATCTTCCAGGGATCTGAGATGCGAAGATACCAGAAAGCCGGTCACGAAAGCTCGCTCTCTCTCGCTCTCACCCTCTTTGCTCGCTCCTTCAGGTCGCCTCTCAGCGGGGAAGTCGTCACGACTCGTCGTTGCGAGTCATTAATTCGCGTAGAAGAAGCTAGCTAATCGGATACGGATTAATGATACGACGGAAGGAGGGGACGGATCGGCGTATGACATTGGGGGTTGTACTTGGGGTCCCCACCACTGGATGGACAATAGTGCGGAAAACGCCGAAAGAAATATATGCAAGTCAGCCAAGGTCGTCACCAGCAGGACGTAATACGGGACGGGACGTTCATGTAACCAGGAAACCGCGAGGGGGGGGGGCAGGGAATCTCGTATCGGTCCCCGTTATCGTACCAAGCTTGTCGAGCTGGAAATAGAATCTCGAATGTGTGCACGAAATTGGAATCGCAGTAAGAGCTTCGCATAAATTATCTCTTTTGATCTCACATCGACTAGGACTATCTGCGAAATACGAAAAGAAATAATGAAGCTTTACTCGAGAGTCCGTTATAGAAGCAATCGAATCGTAATATAATATTCCAGTTTTTTTTCCTCTACCAGTTTTTATTCCGTTTGATAGAAAAAAGGCATTTATAGCCTAATGTCACGAGATAAAAATCCGTCTACTACTGATATTGATTTTGTATTAGCCTGAATCATTTACGAAAAGTCCTATAAAGTATGGATTCCAGAGTTAGATTCTCCGAACGTTCAAACTTCAACTTGGGTTTTGCCAAGTGCGATATAGTGCTTTGCGTGCAGCTTTTAATCAAATAAAACGTCTTACCGGGTCTTAACATCCCTCCTTTTGACGGGTTGACGGTTCTGATAGTTAACGATTCATTGTGCGTAGGAAACCGTCAGAATGATCAATGGCCGGTGATGGTTTGGTTCCACGGCGGCGATTTCAACACTGGGACTCCGGCGATCTGGGACGCCTCCATATTCGTCAGCAAACAAAAGGTGACGACACGGGGTGATTTCGCGCAAACAAATATCTGCGAAAACCGGTTGCTCGGAGAAGCTCGTGAATGCGAAAATTGAGATTAACGTGACCCGGTCGGCCGACTGATTTAATCGATGCTGATATAATCACGATACATGGGAGAATGATTAGCGTGTATTTTTAACGGTGCTCAATCAATGTCCCGGGTATGTTCGGGCAGACGTAAAATCGAAGGGAATCAAATCGGGGCCGGACCTTTCCTTTTCCTCTTCCCTCTCCTCATCTCGCGTGCCGTTCTTACCTCTAGAATAGAACCGCACCCTTTCGGCCGTGATGCATCATTAATGGAGCTTTCGTTACACACCCTGGCGTAATGCACATAATGCGGTATCGTATTACGACTCTCAGGAAACTCATGGGGGTAGGTTGGGGAAGCAAGGCTGATCGTTCGCGCAACACGAAACAAAGATAAATCTCGAAACTTTCGGCAGTAATGATAGATTTTATCGCGCGCACGCTAAAAAAAAAAAAGTAAAGAAAGAAAAGTTCTACAATGTGCAAGATTAAACGGGGGCGACTTTTGCGGTCGGTAGGTGCTAGTGGTGACGGTGGCGTATCGATTAAACATTCTTGGATTCTTCACGACGATGGACACCGAGGCGCCCGGCAATTATGGCATGTTTGATCAGATCGCCGCTCTCGACTGGATAAAACGGAACATCAAGCACTTCAACGGCTCGCCCAACAACATCGTCATCTACGGCCACAGTTCCGGTGCCATAAGCGTGGGCCTACACATGATGAGCCCGCTCAGCAGAGGGAAATTCCACAAGGCGATCGTTATGAGCGGAGACGCCATCAGTTCCGTCGGCACGCTGGACAGAGAAAAGACGGTCGTAGACATCGTAGCCGATAGGTTCAGCTGCTACCGACGACCGATCAGCGCGCTGATGGAATGCTTGCGCCGACCACCCGCCGATGCTCTGGTCCAACAAACGGCTGATATCGAGACCTGGGGCCCGATTATCGATGCGGATACAAATAATGAGACGGAACCCTTCCTCGCGCAACATCCAAAGGATATCTTGGAAAGTGGTAATTATCGTAAGCGATTTTTGATAACAAAATGAACGAATCGGTTTTCTAAGATATCTGAAAGCATCGTACTCAAATGTTTCTTAAATATTTATTCTCTAAGAAGAAGTTATCGGGTTTTGCTAAACTTTTTAAAATATACCCTTTTCGACATTCTTATTATTTCGATGTAACGATTTAGATCTTCCTTAACTTTAATAAAATTCTCAATCAGGTAATTTCAACGCGGTACCATTGATCACTGGCTACACGAACAACGAGCAAGTTCTGGCATATATGGAGGCTATTGGCGAGCGGAATCCAGAGGGTGGACTCTCTCCGGAAAATTTTGAGAACATGATCGTAGACGAGTTTACGTCAGCGGTACAGCCCCCGGACGACAATAGCACCTGCGAGTCGAAGCCCGAGATGGTGACGAATGCGGTGCTATTCTTCTATAGGCCATATCCATTTACGACAAATATGACGGTGTATCGCGACAGATACCTGGACCTACAAACGGAAAAGAATTTTGCATCTGGTCAGACATTACTGGCCGGCAAAGTGGCGAAACGAAAAACGCCGGCTTTTGTCTATCGATTCGATTATCGTCCCAAGACACAACCAGTCACGAAGGATGTGCCGGAATGGGCGGGCGTACCGCACATGTTCGAACTCCCGTTCGTCTGGGGTTTACCGCATCTGATGAACGCCGCGACGCAATGGATCTTCAATGATAAAAAGTTGTCTGAGGTGATAATGACGATGCTAGCGACGTTCGTCAAGACCGGGGATCCCTCCTTGACGAGTGGGACAGGATCGGTCAAGTGGGAGCCTTATACACAGGAGAACCCGAGGATTCTGATCATCGACAAGAATGTCGAGATGAACGAGCCGGATGCGGTGGACTACAAGGCACTCGCGTTCTGGAACGATTATTATCCACAAGTCGTAATGCAGGCGACGGACAATTGTTGCAATATCACGAGCACGGCGACGACATGGAGGATATTCTCTCGTAGCGTGTGTCTTAGCGGCGTAATGGCTACGGTGGCGTTGCAACGCTTCTGGTTCTAATTACAATCACAACGTGACATATGAAATACTGAATTAAAAAGAAAAAGAAACGTGTTGTTACGCTCGCTGTATATTTTTAATAGACCAATATCGTCGAAAAAAGACGAAATGTAATTGTCGGATTTTGCAATTTTATAAGATCTCTTCCCACATTCTACTTTTCAGAAGCAAACGCAGTAACAATCTTGTTAATCTTGTAGAATACGTGAAATTTGCATTTTCTTGTGCAAATAGATTTTACGTACGTATTCGCGATAATTATGTTTCATAATATACGCATTTAATTGAGAGTTCTCGCACTCTCGTACATCTGTATCTATTGCGATATAGTTGTATTAAATTTTCCTACATTCGTTTTGATATCTCAATTACATTGCATGTTATCACAAAGTTATTTTATTCCGTTCTTATTATCTTACATGTTACTTGATGTAGATTATACGAAACAAGGAAAAAAATTATCTACAGGCTAATCACGCGAAACATGGCGGCAAAACATGGTTCACAAACGAGACAAAGGGGGCTCGGAATGAAATAAAATGAAATCCAGGTTGTATTACAAGAGTAGGAAACTTGGGCCCTTTTTTAACATTCACTGATTTTTTTTTATTATTTGCCTTAATACGGAGAGATATAGAAAAACATACTTTGTTTGAGAAACAAACAGAGTTTGATAACTTATGAATATTTTGATGATCCGATAATAATTAATTAATATTAATAATAATAGCAATAATCATGTTCAAGTACCATCTATGTATAATTATTATATTATATAAGAGAGAGAGGTGCGCGGCGAGAGCGCGATGCATGGGGGCTGGTGGCCTGCGCACACGCACGTCCACAAACGTTTCTTTTTTTCTTATCTCTTCCTTTCTCTTAAATATATAATATTAATTAATCATTTCTTCCTTTTTTTCATTTATTCATGCAAAACTCCTACAGTGATAACCGATGCTGCGGGGTATCCTACTTTGCGCGCCATTGCTTGCGCGTGCACACGAGCCACCCCGGAACCAATGTTATATACAATATTTCCTTCTGCTTATCGCTGCGTTCCCTTCCATGTATTTCTTCGTTCTTCATTTCGCTGCGTTACCTTATGCCCTTATATGCCCTTATTCTCCCATCTCTCTACCACCGTTTTACAACCGTTCGGATTTCAGTATCGTAGACACCCATTCTACTGTCGCCTAATATTCCGTCAGCCCCCTTCTCCTCTTTTGTCATTAGTATCTTTCTTGTTTTATAACCGCTCCGGTTCTTTTTTTTTTTTTTTTTTAAATCCATTGGTATCCTTGGATTTTCATGTAGGAGAATATGGGCTCCACCATATCTACCTTACAAAAGTAGGCACAGCGATTTCTTCTTCTGCTTCATCTTCTTTTCTGGCGATTTCTTATTTATTTGCCGCACCAGGTCATAGAAAATCTGAAAATCAAATATGATATTATTAACAATTATTTATACTCTATCAGAGATATATCACTCATCGTTAAAATTCGATTATTAATATTGTACAAAGCATCGCTAGTTAATTAATTATTTTTATTAGAAGATATTGAGCGACGAAATTATAAAATACAATCATAAAATGCTATTCAAATCAAAATAAATGAAATTGACATCAACTCACATCGCGAACGTTAATTTTAGCTTTGGCAGAGGTCTCCATAAACACACAATTGAATTGCCGGGCAAGATTGACACCCTGATCCTTTCCTACTACCCTCTCGTCCTCCAGGTCGCACTTGTTACCTACTAGCACCATCGGCACATCATCTGTGTCCTTTACTCGCAGGATTTGTTCTCTGAGGTCTTGCAGGTCGTTGAAAGTTGATTGTGCTGTTATCGAATACACTAATACGAAGCCCTGTCCATTTTTCATATAAAGGTCCCTCATGGCTGTGAATTGTTCCTGTAAACGGAACAAGAAATGTTCATTCAAAATGCAATTCCATAGTGTAATCGTGAAAAAAACGAAAGAAAATACTTTCTAAAAGACAAAAGCGATAAATTAAAAGATTATTAAAAAACTTTTTGTGTTATTTCATTGAAGACTTTTGTTGACGCAGCATGAATAAAAAGTTGAAATAGGAAAGAGAAACAGAAGAACAAGACTAACACTCGGGCAAAAATATACTCGAATTTAACGTCGAATTTAACGATGATATTTTTTGCTTATTCGAAATGAAAAACTAACAGAGACAAGTTATGGGAGACAGGTTACTTCACTTACTGTGCCGGCTGTGTCTAGAATTTCTAACATACATTGTTGACCGTCGACCTCGACTTGCTTGCGATAACTGTCCTCGATCGTCGGGTCGTACTTCTCTACGAAGATCTCTTGTACGAACTGGACAGTGAGGGCGGACTTGCCTACACCTCCACTGCCCAGTACCACTATTTTATATTCGCGCATCTCTTTGCCCTACCTACTGCCTATGGGCCTGATCACAGTCGAGGGGTCACCGAATCCGCCACGTTTTGCCTCGGTTTGCTCTCAGTGAGATCTGGGGACCTGAAACAACAATGCGCGATCATTCGGTTAGAAGTAGCGCGAACAACACAACACATAATGGGTTCATTTTAATGACACACCTTCCCGCGGACGACTCAGCCTTTATGACTCAATGCTTTTTACGCGTTTTATATACATATGACCTTATGCGAAGTAAAGCTGATGTCGTGTACACGTATGTAACTATTGTAAATTACAAGATTACCATGTTTTATATGAAAAAAAAGATATCACGTTCTTCCGTGTGCGAGCATATAATAACTTTTATAATTGCTAATATCACATTTATATCTCCTCCAAGAATTCAACTTCGTTAGAAAAAAAAAAAAACTACGAATAAACATTTGATGTTGATATTTAAAAACTTGACAAAATATATTAAATATTTGGGAGAAATGTAAATTCTCTTAATTTTATTGCATTTCGGGATGCATAATTTATTTTTTTCTACACTCAACTTTGTGCAGTCTCTCGTAAAATAAATTTCTTTTTTAGGCTGGCTATCCTAAAAGATTTCCTAAAGCTGAAAGGTTGGTGCTATCGCACAAAATTCTGGCATCCGGAAACGGAAGCGGTATAGTTAATTGTTTCACGAGAAAGCAAGTACCGGTACGCGGTACGCTCGACAAAGTCACGCGCTACTCCCAGTCATGTTTTGCTTCGGCGAAGCGCGTTGTTTCGCCGCGGTATCGCGCGACGAAAGGCAGAACAAGAGGAAAACGCGAATGCCGCGAACGATACGCCGATTGGCCGGCGGTGGCATCATGGCGACGCGTCGCGGCCAATCAACGACTATGGAATTCTTTGCGCCAATCCGTCATTGATTTTACCTTTATGAATGGACCTGTACAATGAAAGCCGCTACTCTCGGACTTTCGTCAGCACATTATAGCGTTTGATAAAGTTGCCTCGGAGGCGTGACGCTACTATAATACAATGCGAAGAAAATTTTGCAACGATATATTCTTACATCTTTGGAAGCATCGCGAGGATCCGAAAAATCGTTAAGTCCGTTTCTATTTTAATAATTTCGAACAATTCAAGAAGATTTTACTTGATATTTGTTACTTTTTGATTGCTTATATCACAGAAGTATTTTGTTTCAGTAATCGAATTGGTGAAGCACCTGTTCTAAATAATCGAAAGATTCAAATTTGTATCTTCGTGAGATATTTTTCGCAATAATTTCTTGCGAAAGGAAGAGGGTCAATGGTATCATTAATTTATTGATTTATTAAAAAGGAAAAGATTTAATTTTGGCTCTGAATCGCTATGTTTCAAATTCGTTAAAAATGATGACGTGTAGTGAGTGACATAATTATATCTTAAAATTTATATATATATATATATATATATATATAATAATCTTATATATATATATATATATATATATATATATATATAA